AAATTTGTTAGCTAACCATGTTTATAAGAAAGTTTCATAAAATATGAATGTATCTTTGTGTTGATCATTCACTTAATCCACACAAAACCACAACGATACAGGTATTTGTTTCAAGGTGAGAAAATTTAGTCATGGAGATTTGTGTCCTAAGCCAGATAGCTATTAACCAGCAGGAAAAGAATATGAACGTAAGCTATCTGAAAAAGATTAGTAAATTCCAAACAGATTTGAATTTTACAAATATTTCCGACAAAGGAGTTGACAGTGTCCTTAAACTTTTTGTCAAGTTTGATTGGATAACAAGTATGATTTAAAAAGTTATTCTTTGGAAATAAATCATATATGATTTTTCTCTACTTTTTACATTCAGTCTTTAGCTCTCAGGTTCGTCAGAGCCTGGACACATATGATTATTTAGAACACAATATCTCATTGAGGAACACAAATTTGGAAAGATTCTGTTTTGAAAAGAACTCTGGAAGAACAGTAAGTTCCACAAAATTTAGGGAATCTCCTTCTCTGAAAGCTCCTGATTTTGAAAAACCACAGGGTCACTTGATTATTTTTGTTATTTTACAAGAAATCAGAATTAGAGCCAACTCTAAGTCAAACTTTTTCATATGCAGGCAATGTGATCAAGATATTGTAGGGAAGTCCTATGAAAAGGAAGGAGATTTCCAAAAACTAAAGAGATAGTGCAAGTGGAACTCTAAAAAGAAAAATTAAGTCTATTCGGGGCATACAATGACTCCAATGACCCACCATATTTAAGTGATTTATACAAAGGGAAAAAAACTTAAATACTTTTTAAGAGCATTTTAATTACCTGAATTAGTGGTCAGAGATACAGATAATCACTGTTCATAGAAAGAACTATTCATAGCTTTTTGATAAGTCTTCCTTAGATGTTTTTACCTTTTTTTAACTGTAATTTTAAAATGGCTTTCAATTTCAAGTGGACCCTGTTGAGTCATTAAAATGTATCTGTATCTTTCAGTGTGATCAATGGTACTAGAATGTTCTTTATGAGGTTGTTAAAATTGTTTTAAACATCATTAAACCTTTAGAGCTACATAGTTGGCTTTCCTTCTAGAGAAATGACCTTCTCTTACAAATCACTGTGCCTTAAGCTCAGATAAACTTAAAACTTATAAAATCTTTAGAAACAGCAGAATTGAATTAAAAGTCAAAGTACATATCTTTGAAGTCTCAAAGTCTCAATTTCAAAGAACTAAACGGGGAGATACTGTTGAGTAAACATATGTACTTCATAACTCAGAGAAGCAAATAAAAATGGAAACATTTGAAAATAAAATTTATATCAACTCATAAAAACAAATTTTTACAAAATACAAATTCCTACATAATTTTCACAGCTGTTAGAATACACATAAAGATAATCATCACATGTTTGTATGTTTTTTCCTTTTTATTTTACATATACAGATATAATTTTTTTATTACAGATACAATTCTCAGTCAGATAAAGAACACTAAACTAGATAAACTAGTTAACTATGTGGCATCTAAGGATTCAACTATCGAGGACCTAACTTATCAACAGATAATACTTAAGGGACTACAATTGGAAGGACCTAGAAAAAAATAATTACACAAAATCATTAGTGTGTGTTCATTAATTCACCATTCCCACCAAAGACAGCACAACAAACAGTTCTCATTTCTTTAATCTCTGATTAAACTGATTACCATTTTAAGCAGCTGGAAGCCTACAGTGCAGGGATTTGTGGTGTAAAGTCAGAGCCTTTGCCCCTCTGGTGACTCAAATCCACCAGTAAATCTGCAGGAGAAAGATGAACAATCACTTCCTGAGCAATTTACAGCCTCAGAAACCCCATGGAGGGTCAGCTATGAGTCAGCTCAGTACATGGTAATGAGAGTGGTGCAAGTCAGTTTCCATAAAATTTTCAAAGACAAATTTGAATGTTCTTAATCTGACCACATTGAGACAATAGATTTAAAAGGTACATTGCTGAAGGGGGAGTTCACAGAATTAGGAAGTTAATCTTTTTATTGCATTATAAATGCAAATGTAAACATGATCGATAAAATAATCTTTATTCCTAAACTCTTCCAAAGTCACTTGGCTTTTATCATTAAACAATGAGATCTTAAGATTCTTATATCGTATTTGGAAGGCTATGAGGTTTCATCTTAGAATTCTGACTAAAAGTTTCCTGCTGTATTAGGAGAAACACACATTTGAAGTCATTATTGTGGATAAGCTAACAGCTATTATTAATATAGCCCAGTTGTAGATTTTTAAAACATTGTCATTAGCATAATATTTAAATATTTCATTTTAAAGGCTAAGAAAAATTCTAAGTAAATTTTCTAAACTAGTGTAAAAAAACTAAATTAGGAAGATTTATTAATTCATGCTTGCTAATAATTTCTACAATTCCTTTCATTTTTTCCCCTCCTATGCATGATTTTAAAAACCCAGAAAATACTATCAAGGTGTGAACAGTCACATTTCCATTCCTTCCTTCCCAAAGCCACTAGGAACTAGCAACTTATGTCTCTATGCATTTGTGAGGAGCCATACGTTTAAAACAGAGGGTTTTTCTAATTTCTTACTTTAAGTTAATTAAGTTCATGTTTTTATAATTTTAATACCATTTAATTCTCAATTTTGGTGGGAATATTCAAAACTAATAGATCTTTCTCAGCCATATATAATAAATTTAGTAAAATATTAAAGATTGTTATCTATTATGTTTACTAATTTAAGATCCACAACTGAATAACCATTTTTTACTTATCACTCATATGAAGTGATGGAATAATCTACAACATCACCTAAATTAACCAAAGACTAACATAAACTCAGAGATGATAAAAGGTGGATAAAGCTTTTTCATAAATTTTCTACGATGGAGTAAATCAGGTCTTATTTCCCATGTTGAACCAATAACTCTTGAAATTTGAAATGAGATGAGGATGAGT